TGGCATCTGCCAAGGCTGGTGTCCTGACCGCTGCCCGTGGCACCTCCGAGCTGCAGTGCCACCTGCCTGGTGCCACAGTCAGGGCTGGTTGGGGATGGCAAGCTGAGACTGGTGTAACCCACTGCACATGTGACAACGTGTGACAATGCTCTGCCTGGGGAGGCCCCATCTGCTGAAATGTTACCGTGGGCAAGACTGGGCTGAGAAACAGGAAAGGATCCGTTCACCTCCGCTTGCCTCCCCAGTGGGTGCTCCAGGCACCGTGCTAACCCTGACTGCTAATTAATCATTGATAATTCACAAACAAGGGCCAGAGGGGGAAGCTTGTGGCTGTGCTGGCAGCCTGAGCCCGGGCAGAGAGGCTGGATGCCACGGGCGTGGATGCACATCGGTGGGGCCGGGCACATGGCGGCTTGCGGCAGCCGCAGAGCACGAGCAGCGCCGTGCTCAGGTTCCTCGTTAATTAGCAGAGCTCGGCAGGGTCTGCTGTGGCTCCAGGGGGGCCGGCAGTGCCGGGGCACTCACTGCCTCTCCCTGCCCTGCCAGCACCGGGCCCTGCGATGCCGTTTGGCTGCGTGACGCTGGGAGACAAGAAAGATTATAACCAGCCGTCTGAGGTGACCGACAGATATGACCTGGGCCAGGTCATCAAAACGTGAGTTGGTCCCTCCATGGCCCCACAGATGCCCTGGGGAAACACCAGCCACCTGTATGGGGCTCCTGGGGTGCTGAGGAGTGGCACAACACTGCCTGTGGGGGCTCTGGGCGTGCTGGTCCCCAGCTGGGCTGGGATTGCAGGGTGTACTTTGGGGTGGCTTTACCCTAATTAGTCCCTCTAGCTCGTGGGTTGCATGGGGGATATTCACAGCTAGCTCCAAGGAGGGCAGTGAGCTTTCCCACTGCTTCTGGCTGCAGCTGGGCAGCCTCCCATATCCTTCCCTCGTCCCCTCAAGATTTGCAGGGATTGCAGCAATTCCACACGATCCTGGCTTCCTCAAGCATGTTGTGAATCAGGAGGGCTCAGCTACAGCAAAGAAAAGGCAGATCTCACTTGGGGGGCTGTGGAGCATTGCTGCTTCCCCCAACTTTTATTGCCATGCTGAGGAACCTGTTAGGATGCACACCAAAAAATGAAACCCTCACACCCCTTGAGAGTGGCTTGACTGCAAAATAGGCACCAGAATTTTTTCCATCAACTTCCAAAACACCTGCTTGGACAGAGGTCACACGTGGCAGGATCACACTGGGTAGCAGTGGGGACCTTGGGGACCTTTGCTCCATCCTCTGGGCAGTTTGTCCCAAAGCCCGCAGGTCACTGTTCCCCTCCACCCGGGGCAGGGGCTGTGAGGATTTCAGCGCAGCTGGGGGGATTGGAAAGCCAACAGCTTTGCTGGAGTAGTGCCAAGTGCCCCCCGGGGGCTCCCCTGCAGCTGCAGCCTGGCCGATGGGCTCAAGCACCATTAATAATAGAACAGAAACACTGCAGCTACCGGCACATCTCCCTTTCTTTCTCCCCAGCTGCTGTGCTGATGTTAATGTCGGCTGTGCTGCTGTTCCACCTTGGCACCAGTGGCTTTGCAGTGGGTCTTACCCTCCTGTCCTGAGGACGAGGCTTTTTAACCAGCAAATTCTCTCCCTTCCCCGTCAATTTGCTTCTTCCATATCAGTTGCTTCTCACTGCAGTTTTTTTCTTCCCCTCCAAAGTGGTTTTGAGCCACAGCTTTCTTTTACTTCTGTGGCATCTCCCCTGACTGCTGGGATCTGGGGGAACGCTGGTGGGCCCAGAGACCACCCAAGCAGCCCAGTCTCAGTGATCCCCGGGAATGGGGTGATGCCTGGGGGTACTCTTGCAGGGAGGAGTTCTGTGAAATCTTCCGGGCCAAGGAGAAGACGACAGGGAAGTTGTACACCTGCAAGAAGTTTCTGAAGCGGGATGGGCGGAAAGTGCGGAAGGCAGCCAAAAACGAGATCATCATCCTCAAAATGTGAGTGCTGGGGCTGGAGGGGATCCTCTGCTACTGGGCAAACTGGGAACACCTACCCATGCTCCTGTCTCTCTGTAGGGTGAAGCACCCCAACATCCTCCAGCTGGTGGATGTCTACATCACCCGCAAGGAATATTTCATCTTCCTGGAGCTGTAAGTTTGGGACATTTGGAAGTGGGGAGCGGGTGGCCCCACCAGGGTTGGGTCTCGGCAGAGCTGCTGTCCGCAGGGCCACTGGCCGGGAGGTCTTTGACTGGATCCTGGATCAGGGCTACTACTCGGAGAAGGACACCAGCAATGTCATCCGGCAGGTGCTGGAGGCTGTTGCTTACCTGCACTCACTCAAGATCGTCCACAGAAACCTCAAGGTGGGTGGCAGGAGAGTGGGAGCACCCATGGGTGCTGCCATGCCCCTGTCCTGGCACTTACAGTCCCTGCACCGGCAGCTGGAGAACCTGGTGTACTATAATCGCCTGAAGAACTCCAAGATCGTCATCAGTGACTTCCACCTGGCCAAGCTGGAGAACGGGCTCATTAAGGAGCCCTGTGGCACTCCTGAGTACCTGGGTGGGTGAGAGCCAGCCGGGTGGGCATGCAGGGGTGGGCAGTGCTGGGTCCCAGCAGGTCCCTGCTGGTCTGTACCATCCATTCCTTACTACCTGCTGCTGCACCTCCCATTCCCCATCACGCTGGGGGCTGATCCTGGGTGCTTCCAGTGGGCGCCTCCCACTCCCATCACCCCAGGGCCAAAAGGCTGGGTGGCTGGGGACCCCGGGGGATGGTTGCTCTTCTGTCTCTGGCAGCTCCGGAGGTGGTGGGGCGGCAGCGGTATGGGCGGCCGGTGGACTGCTGGGCCATCGGCGTCATCATGTACATCCTGTGAGTGTGGGGTGAGGGACAGGGTAGCTACAAGGGCTCAGGGCTGGGGCGGGACTGAGCCCCCCACCACATTCCCCAGCCTTTCGGGAAACCCCCCTTTCTACGAGGAGGCAGACGAGGATGACTATGAGAACCACGACAAGAACCTCTTCCGCAAAATCCTGGCTGGGGACTATGAGTTTGACCCACCGTACTGGGATGACATCTCGCAAGCAGGTGAGCCCCACACTGGGGGGGATACGTGGGGTCCCATGTTGTCCCCTACCAGCACTGACTTCTCCCCTGTGCCCCCAGCTAAGGAGCTGGTGACACGCCTGATGGAGGTGGAGCAGGACCAGAGGATCACAGCAGAGGAGGCCATCTCCCATGAGTGGTGAGCAGCGGCAGGGTCAGATGGGGAGCCAGGGGGGCTGATAGGGGCTGCTCACCCCTCACGGCCTCTCCAGGATCTCTGGGAATGCGGCCTCTGACAAGAACATCAAGGATGGCGTCTGTGCCCAGATCGAGAAGAACTTCGCCCGGGCCAAGTGGAAGGTGGGTGTGGCTGTGCCGTGCCTCCATGTCCCCTCTCAGCCAAGCTCGGTCCCCCAGCATGTGGCTATGGTGGGGCTGCCAGTCCCTGCCCCTCCGCCAGCCCCACATCCCCCGTCTCTCCCTCGCAGAAAGCCGTGCGAGTGACCACGCTCATGAAACGCCTGCGGGCGCCCGAGCAGACGGAGACGGCGGCAGCTCCGGCCCCGGCAGCGACCCCAGCCCCGGCAAAGGCTCCGGCCCTGGCAGCAACTCCGGCCCCGGCAGCGACCACGGCCCCGGCGGCGACTCCGGCAGCGGCCCCGGCTCCCGCTGCCGCGGAGCCCGCGGCCACAGAGCCCGCCACCGACACCGCCACCGCCCCGGAGCCCGCAGCCCCCGCCACGGAGCCCGCAGCCCCCTCCGCCACCGCCCCGGAGCCCGCGGCCCCCGGCACGCCGCCCGCCGCCACGCAGCCCCCGGCCCCCGGCACACCGCCCGCCGCCACATGTACCGAGGCCGGGGCCGCCGCCGAGCCCTCCAGCGAGCAGAGCGGCTGAGCGGCCCCGCGCCCCCTGTACATAGCCCCGGCATGGCCCCCCACCCCCGCCTGCGCCCTCTTTTCTACGTGCCCCGCCGGAGAGCCGGCCGCGGGGCAGAGCCCTGCATGGCGCCCGTTCCCCCGTGTCCCCCCAGCTCTCTCAGTCTGTCCCCCGCCGCCGTCCCCTCCCCCGGGGATGCCCAGAGACGCGGGGCAGCGCCCTGGGCCGCACGTCCCGCAGCGCTGGGGGCGCGTCGCGGGGCCCCCCGGGACACGCCTGCATGTGCGGGACCGCAGGCGGGGCCGCCCGGGACGGAGCGGGGGCCGTCCCGGAGACCCCCTCTCTGTCCTGGGACCCCCGGGGGGGGGGACACGGGGACCCCCGCCCGGGGGCAGCCGCACGGCCCCCCACGCGTTGTGCCTGGAGGACCCGCACTGCCCCCCCCGTGCCCTCTCCCCGGTCCCCGCTTCCCCCTCGCAGCTGCATGCCTGCAGGGCCGGCTCTGCCCACGGCTGCCGCCGCCGCCCCGCCGCTGTATCTCTGGCAAATAAAGACCCCGCTGAGGACAAACTGAGACAGCACCAGCGCCGCCTGCCCAGTCTCTCTGTGGGGCAGGGGGGCTGCCGACACCAGCACGGCGCTCAGCGAGGCGCGGCTCCACTGCCGGGACAGCGAGGGCAGCGGGACCCCGTCAGCGCTTCCCGCCGGGAAGGATCCCGGGAAGGATCCCGGGCGCCAGCGCGGGGCACGGGGGGAGCCCCGCCCACTCCCACCGGCGCCTCCCGGCCCCGCCCCTGGCCGCGCCCACCATCCCCAGCCCCACCCCCGGTCCCGGCGGGTCCCCCCGGTCGGTTCCGGGGCGGGCCGGAAGCGGCGCCACTCGCGGTCGCGTTCAAACGGCGGCAGGCCGCGCGGCCGCGAGCCCCGAGCTGCCCGGCGCTGCCCCGGGAGCCGCGCTGACCGCCGCACCCCGTCCCGCCATGCCCATCCGCGCCCACTGCACCATCTGCTCCGACTTCTTCGACAACGAGCGGGACGTGGCGGCCGTGCCGTGCGGGCACACCTTCCACCAGGCCTGGTGAGCGCCGGGGCGGGCGGGGCTCGGGCCGGGCCGCGGGCCGTCAGCCACGGGCTGGGGCTCCGAGGAGTCGGTGGAGCTGCCGCAGCAGTGCGGGCTGTGCCGGTCACACATGTGAACGGGCTGTCCCGGGAGCCGGTGGGGCTGCCTGGAGGTCTTTAAGGAGAGACTGGATGTGGCACTTGGCATGGTGGTGATCGGCCATAGGTCGGACTCGATGATCTCAGATCTCTTCCGACCTAATTGATTCTGTGTTTCTGTCGCTGTGCTGCCTGCAGGCTCCCTTCTCCGGAAGAGCCAGTGTCACAGGGTATTTGGAGGGAGTGATGCTGGATTATGGTGAAGCTGCCCTGGTAATTCCATGCTTTTCTGGGACTGTATTGTGAGTGTCTGTGTTGAAAGGAAATGGTTCTTCTCAGGAAATAAACTTTGTGTGGGGAGAGGGTGGGCATTTGCTTTCCTAGCTAACAAGCTTGGAGAGGACCACGGGTGTGATTGTCACTTCTCGCTCGGCAGCGCTGCTTGGGTCTGCTCTCTGCCAGCAGCCAGTGGAGCAGGGAGAGCTTCCAAAGGTAACCTGCCAGCTCCACATCATTACCTGCTCCCAAAAATAAACCTTTCCAGTGTGACGTGGTGGCTTGGTTGCAAAGTGCATTAGTAGCTGTCCTGGGGAGCCCAGCAGGTTTGCATTCATCTTCCCAGAGCAGAGCCCAGCCCGGTGCCCCTCGCTCAGCAGATCCGTGCTCAGTGGCACCCCTGGGAGCTGCCTGGGCTGGGATCTCAGCTGTCACATCCTGATAGAGCAGCTCCTGTGTGCATCCACTCGCTCCTGCGAAGCTGCGGCTGTTCAGTGCCTGTCTCCCAGAGAGATCTGAGCTCTGCAAAAGCTCTGCCCTGTTAAAGATAAGCTCACATGCTACATTCAGCCAGGAATTGTGTTGGAGATGCAGGTGGAGCATGCATGTGGAACATGGAGCTCCTGCCGGCCACAGTGCTGGACTGAAGGTTTGCCTCTCTGCTTTAGTGTGTGACAGGGAGTCATGTCCTGTTGTCTCTTGGGCAGCTGGGAGATGGCTCCTGGAAGCAGTGCTCCAGGGCTGTGAGGATTTACTGTATGTTTTCCTTTTCTTTCTCAGCCTCTTCCAGTGGTTTGACACTGCACCGAGCCGGACATGCCCGCAGTGCAGAAACCAGGTAAAGCCATCTCCTGTGCACACCTGCGGTACCAAGGAGCTGCGGCCAGGGGTGATGCCGGAAGAAGACTCATGGCAAAAAGCAGAGGGGCTTTCTGTCACTTGGGACTTCCTAGAGGAGAGGAACTCCCCTCCTCAGCCCTTTGGGTTGTAATGGGCTGGGGGTGCCCTGCTACTGTGTCCACTGCAGCTCCTTTCAAAAGGGGCTGTGGGTTTTCACAGCTTCTACTTAGGCAGGGTAAGAGTTGGCATGATGACAGGAGGGGCTGCAAGGGCTTAATGGGACACCTAACTGGTGTTTCTGGTGTGCCCAGCCCATTCTGCTGCACGTGGGCCTTACAACCCCTCCTGGCTTAGCAGTACTCAACCCTCCCTTGAGAATGGTGATGGCTGGGGAGAGAAAGAAAGATGTGTCTTCTTCTGAGACAGGAAGCTGAGCCCTTGGGTTTCATTGGCTTAACTGGGACCTGAATGTCTTTGAAGTCCCTTGTCACCAGCCTTCATGCCACCAGTAGCTCATGGCACGTAGTGGCTGCAGGAGATGTTTCCCTGCTCTCAGATGTAAATTTTTAGCCAGCTGCTGTTTGGGCTTATTCTGTGTTCGTTATTCTTTCCTTCTCTCAAGGTCTTGGCCCTTGTTCCTTCCCTGACTTGTTGATTCCCTCTGTTCTTCTCTGCCTCTTACATCTCTAGGTTACCATGGAGTTATCGCGAAATAACATCTTATGTGGCAGTAACCATGCAATTAGCTGGTGTCATGACTGTATATAATACTTAAAACACAAAGCTGTAACTGCATGGGGGAGGTGTGGAGAGCTATCAAATTCAATTACAGCACCTTCTGCCTGCAGAAAGCAGCACGTACTTCTGTCTTAGGATTTGGCATCATGTAAGCTCAGCATCAGCTGCTTTGGGCTGAGCTGCCAGAGAACAGACTGCGCTCAATTCAGAAATGTCTGAATCTTTCTGCTGTGGCTCAGGAGCTTGGCTGGAGTCACACTCCCAGAAACTGAGTGGGGGGTCTGCTGCTGTGCTGTTGAGCCAAAGCAGAGCATCGCCACTAATGGTGTCAAACACGTGATCTGATTTGCCTTTCATGGTCTTGTCACAAGACAGTACCTTCTCCCCCTCCATCTGTCTTCCATATCTGTTGTTTCCATATTTGTGCCCATCAAACTCTTCTGTCTCCTGTGTTTAGGTCAGCAAAAGACACATCATCAGTAAGCTGTTTTTTGATGTTACCCTGGATGAGCATGCAGCACCGGATGCTGAGACCTTGCAGGTAACTTGACGGGGGAGTTCTTTCCTGATACTTCAGCTTCCTGAAAGGGCGGCCTGGCCTGCTGGTCCTCTGCCAGCAGGTGCTTCCCAAGCTGGAGTTTGCTGTGCTCATGTGTCTGACCTGAAGCATATCACTCTCTGTGGTGATTTAGCATTCCGTCTGACCAAATCCCATGTGGTGACCCAAAGAGTCTCCTCTACTTCCTGCTCTTCCTTCTGCTTCTCACTTTACCTGGAAACCTCCTGAAACAGCATCACATCAGACTGCTGGTCCTCCCCTGGGGAATGAGGGTACAGAGCTGTTCCCAAGGGCAGGAGAAGGGAAATCCCAGGTGCAGTGAATTGCTGCTGGTACCTGTGGTGCAGCTGTGTGTGAGCCCTGCTAACCTCTCTGGAAAGAAGGGGCCATTGGAGGAAGTGCCTCCTCCTCCTCCCTTCTGTGCTGGGAGGTTGCTTGTGCAGATTGAAGGATGTGGGGCAAGGTGATGAGGTCATGATTCCCCAAGAGAGATTAGGAATTAACTGCCTGAAGCCACACCAGCAGCAGTGAACAACGTGGAGTCTGGGTCCTGGCAGGATCCTGGATGGAGCTGGGATGCTGGGTGGTGTGCTCCAAGTGCCACCTTTGGGTATGGAGAGTTGGGTGTGAGCAGGGATAAACACAAAGTGGCTGTTCCATGTTCTCCTTTGTGTAGTGTGGATGAAACGGGGATCTTTCTGTCTTGGAATTATCTATTCCAAAAAAAGGGTGGCCGGTTGACCTTGGTATAACGGGATGCTTGTACCCTCTTGTGTTTAGAAGCAGCATGTGCAGCAATTACCATAATTAGCAGTTGCCATGACAATTATATATGTACTTTGTATGTCTTTAAAATAAAGCCAGCCAGACTAGAATGTCAGTAGCAGTGTCTTTCTCCAAGACCACCAGTAACAAAACTGAAGAGCAAAGTGTGCGGAGGAGCATCTCTGGGCACTGGGAGCCACGTGCCCTCGCAGCAGATACACATTTCCTTTTGTACGGATTGGGATCCGTTCCCATGAGCCTAATGAGATCACTGACTTGGACATGGGTTGTCTGGAGAGACTTGCTCTAGAAAATCTTCCTGTTCTCTCTCACCTTCACCCCAGGATCTAAAATGGGTTCCCCCAGCCTTCTGCTCTAGGCAGGCTGTGCAGAACTGCTCCTGTGCTCAAGGGCAGGACTGTGAAGCTGCTCCCGCACAACAAGCTTAATGGTAACTTGTCCTGCTCCTGTAAATCTTGTGTGTATGTGTCAGAGCAACATCTAGCCTCGGTGTACAGCCTGCTTAATGAGGGCTCTGAGGTCACCAGCAGAAAGAACCAAATACTTTTCTGGGTAAGTCAGCATCGTTAGCTTGTGCAGCTGTTCACTGCCGTGTGCACTGTGCAGATTGCTGCTGCAACCAGTTCCATGTGGTGTGCTGCCTCAATTTTGGAGGACATGGAGTACCTTAAGAACACAGGTTCCTTGTTCACAATATGTGAGGGACTAATGTCCACCGAGATGTGAGGTCTGTCTGTGATGGAGTGTCTGATTCTGGCCAGGCAGCAGTTCAAAGCAAACACATGGTGGGCCAAGCCTGGGCTCTTCAGAGGCTGAGATAAGAACTTCTGGCATCCTCAGCCAGAAGCGACTTCACATGAAGAAGGAAGAAAACAAATCCAAGGTTTGCGAAGAACCACTGCTTGGCCCTCCAAGAGCCTGGGCATAAAGTGGTGTTCATCTCTGTAATCAACTGGAGTTGTATCTGTGCTGCCCACAGCTGTCTTGGAATGAGCATTTGGCCTCCTGCCATGAAAAGGATGTGCTAGAAAGCAGTGTGTAGCTATGGTCTGCTTGTCATCTTGGGGTGAGAAGCTTGGGATTCTCTTTGGGGAACCAGTCTTTGGCACCCAGTGAAGTGGCTGGAAGAGCTCCCTGATGATCTAAAACCCCTTCCTGTTGTTGCAAAATTAGCCAAATTGTCTTTTGAACAGTAATTGTCTTTATTACTGTTTGTCACTCTTGCTGTTACTCAGAAATGTTTACAGTCAAAGGAATGCTGGGGCTGTTTTGCTTTCCACCCCCAGGCTAAAACTTCAATAGAAACACCCGGGGGAACCTGGATCCTTGGAGTAGCTGCAGACCACAAGCTAAGTGTCCAAGCATTTATTTCATTCCTGAACCTGGGTTAGGCTATACTGAATTTAAAGATGGTCCTTGTGAGCAGAACAGTCTCAATGTGGCTGTTCCCAGAGCAGGAAAAGGGTGAGTTTTGGAGTGTAACACCTCAGTGAGTCTGTCAAGAGCTACTTGTGATCTGGGGAGTGCAGAGTTCTTCCAAATGAGATTTCAGCTTGGTGAAGAGGAGGTGGGGGGGGAGGATTCCTGCCTGTAAACCTGCTGGGGAAGGTAGAAGCCTTGGAGGACAGCTGTCTGTTTGTGGTCTGGATATATTCATTTGATCTTAGGAAAATGTGGTCTTGTTACTCAGTCTGACAGAGAGAGGAGAGCTCTCAGAGGAGAGAAAATTTGGAGCAGTTTTTAGGAGCTGTGGTGGAGGGTGAGGGATTTCAGATTAAGTTGATGAATGAGGTAATGTTACATAGCTGCCTGAAGTAGCCCAGGGTTTCTTTGCTATCATGATAATTAGCACATCTTGTGAGCCCACTAATCGTTCCTGAATAGGACTCTGAGGAAGCTACTTCAGAATAGTTCCTGCAGGAGAGTTAATTCCACATTAGCCCTCCAGCAGTTGTGCCCCTCAGGGCAAATCCCAGTCAGCTCTGCTAGGCTTTGCATTTAGTCCCTTCTGCTTTCCAAGCTCTACATCCCACATTCTCTTTCCTGCCTTTATTGTCACTAGCAGAGCCCTAGCTCCAGTCCCATCAGAGCCGTGGTCACTGCTGGTGCTATTCTTGGCTCAGATTTGCATGTAGCATTCCGGGTTGCACAGATTTGTGTGCCTGTGTTGGCATTTTATTGTGTTTTTATTCCACTGCAGTTCCTGCCTGACTTGTTATGTGCTTTCCTCTGCAGTTCTCTAACACAGCTTTTTAAGTAATTTTCTATTGACTCTTCCCTGCATATATTTATCTCTCTGGTTTTTCTTTTAAATATACATATAGATATATAGATATAAACAGTCTCTCTTTTTAACCTCTCTACATTTCCTTTGGCTATTCGCCAGTGTTAAATTATATCACTTCATTTTCTCTAATTTAAACTACAGGGCATCTGCTGCCTCTTTCTGATCCTTGATGAAGGCGTTAGAAATAGTTGATATTCCTCAGACCCTTGTGGTACCCAGGAGATTTTGTGCACTCTCAGTTGGCGTGTTATGGATTGGTTTCTCACTGATCTGTTTCCAGCCATTCGATTGAGCTGTTAGCTCATATCAGCATCCTGAACTGCAGTGACTTCAGTGTCTGTCAGCATGTTTGAGTGCATGCTTGGTTACCTTTTCAGGTGTTTGACTGTGCTCTCCTGTCTCCCACCTCCATCTGATTAAAGTTCACTTCAGTTTAAAGAACTCTCAGTAATCCAGTTAGTCTGGCAACATCCCTCCCTTATTGCCTTGTTTAGGTAAAACATTATAAAAATTGTTCTTGCCTGACTTCCTGTGTTTCCCTGAGAGCCTTCCAAAATTATTCAGCTAAAACAGGATGACTGACAGTGTGAGAAACACAAGGTTGACAAGGCTAAGATGAAGCTGCGATCCTCTTTTCTCCCCCTGAAGAATGCCAATTGGAGGTGCTCTTTCTGTTCCCTGTGATAATCCGGGCTTGTAACTCCGTGCTTGTTGTTTCCATGTTCCCTCCCTAGTACTTGCCTGGTCCAAAAGTCCTGCTGAGAAATCTCTTGGGTCTTTTTAAGACCTGGTGAAAGCATCTCTGCAAGATGTTTCCTAATGGGGTTCTCTGTGTTGTGTTTCAGAATGAACTGGACAAGGTGAAGGCCCAGCTCTCCTTGAAAGGTGAGTTCCTGCTGCCTGCAGGGGACCAGCAGCTCCTGGGCTCTGCCTGTGCCAGGTGGCTTGCCAGGTCTGAGGAACCCTTGTGCAGAGACCACTCCTCTCTGAAGCCGAGGGCATGGTTCAGGCTGCAAACTGTTTTGCTAGAGCAACTTCTTCAGAGCTTTTTCTGAGGTGAGAACACTTACAGTGATGCAAAGCTTATATGACAGAGCCTGAGTCCACAGCCTGGCCCAGCTCTGCTGTAACTCAGGAGTTCACTGCGAGTTTAGACAAGTAGATGCAATTCTTTTGCCCCCTTCCTAATCACAAGCTTACAGAATTGCAGCAAAGCTCTATTTGGAGCAGGCTTGAAAGCAAAAGCCTTGGTTTGCTTGCTGGGAAACTCACAGCTGCATATGGCAAAGGCTGATTCCCTCCAGCAGATGAGAGGGTGAAAGTGGTGTCCAAAAGCAGCAGTGGGAAGGCTTTGGATTTGTTTGGCTGTTGCAGTGCCACATGTGTCGCGCGAAGAGCAGACGGAGTTCAGTGTGCACGCACTTCCATCTTCCCATCTTTAATTTTAGAGGATGTTTGAGGGAGGCAGGAAAAGCAAAAGCCCTGGAGACTTGTCGATGGGTTTTAAGCATCGTCTGTAGGCAGCCTGTCATCAGAACATGAGTCATGAGCAGCAAAAGGAAAATGTCAGTCTAAGTGACAGAAATCCTAAAACATGCTAGCAGAAGGGGAAAAAAAAATGTTTAAAGAATGCTGGGGGCTCACCCACGCCCCAAGAGTTGTCTTTCCTCTGCGTTCCCTGCATGCACGAGACAGACATGAATAGCCAGTAGATTGAGGATTCAGTCCTTAGCCTGCGAGTAGAATTGGATGGTCTGCACGTCTCTATTCTGAGGCCTGTTCTCCTGCCAGCTTGGTTGAGTTTAGTGACTTGGTAGAGAGCCAGATCTTCTGGGGAAGGTGGCTGGGATTCTTGCTAGGATATTATCCAAGAAAAACTGCTTGAAGGTCTGCTAATCTTCTCGGCTTCTGGTGAGTAGAGGTTGGATTTGACATTCCCCGTCCTGTTCTCTTTTCATATTGAAATGCGAAGCTCCTTCCCACCTCCTGCCTCCTTTGCTGTGGGTACTCTGCTCTCTGCTGGTTCCTGTGTATAAGTTCTCCATGTGAAGCTGTGCTCTGCTCTGTGCTGCAGAGGAGCTGTGGAGCTGCCAGGCTCTGATCAGCCTGCAAATGGCTCCAGAGGTGCTGAGCTCCTAGCAGGCTCTGTGGGAGGCACTCTGAATGAGCTGAAAACTCATTCCTGCAGCACAGAGGGGTTTGATTCCTGCCATCTGCCTCTGGGCAGCTGGGAACGGAGGAGGGGGAAGCCCTAACTCTTTCAGTGGGTGTGGAGTCCCTGCAAATGCAAGGGAGCATCTCCAGGCACTGCCTCTGGTGGGAATGGGTTATTCAGATCAATGGAGAAGCCACCCGCGTGCTTCTGCTGGAACACATTCCTCTCTTGTTCCTCAGTCCCACATGGATCTTTTACTCCCCAATTGAACAGTGCAGCTTCACTGCAGGTCATGCTTCTACAGGATATGGAGGCAGAATTTAAAACTGGATGGCTTGCAAGGAGAACAAGCTTTTTGGAAAGGCACTCTTTGGCTCTCTACTATTGCCAGGCTGGAGCCACAGGCAATTTTAGCAAAGATTGAAGATGGTGAACTGAGGGTTTTAGCCTGCCCTCAGGAGGGTTAGGTGGAGAGGTTCCTGCTTTCCTTCATTATCCAACTGCTTTGAGGTTCTCAACAATGCTGGCTGTTCCCTTCTTAGTCTGGCAGCTCCTGATAGTGGTTGTTGCTTTCTGTGCTGTCCTTCCCTTGTCTCCACAAAACAAATTGAAATCTGGTGGTGGTTTCCATCACCTTCTCTCTGGTGGTCAGAGGCATGTGCTTTGCTCCTGGATTGCCAGGGGGAGGGACAGCAGGATGCAAAAGTTTTGTGACCTGCAAGAAGTGAGCACTTGGGGAATCTACTTAAGCTGTGATGTGTCCTGTGGTGCCCCCAGTGTCACTACCTCCTGCCCTTTGATGTAGGTGCTGTGGTTAGTGAGGGCACGTGCAGCAGCTTGGTGGGCCCCTGCATACAGCTGCCAATGGCCCCCAAAGGGGTTCCTGACACGTAAGATCCCATGTGGAAAGAATGGATACAAAGCTCTGTTCTCCAGCTCTGTGACAGCTTGGTGTAACTCGAGAAGAATTATTTCCTTGTGCAAGCCTGGCTTTGAGAAAGCACAAGAGTTAAGATACATCATCTTAATGCTAGCAGGGCTGGCGCTGGAAAGCTATTAAATGGAATTTTTATCTTTAGTAAAGAAGTCTTGAAGCCTGCTGGCACTGAGAAAAGCAATTGCTCAGTACAGACCCTGGTGCAGATGCCACTTAGAGAAATGGCTCTCTCCAGGAATGGCCGAATCCTGGCAGCCTGGAGCTGAGCCTGCAAGCAGTCTGTGTGCTGCTGCTGCTGTGCTGCAACTGGAGTCTGGGTTAGCAGGCCGTGACCTTTTCCTTTCTTTGTTTCAGAGAAAGAAAAGCGAGAATGCCAGGCTGTTGTGGACGGGCTGAGGGACACTCTGGATGTGCGCAATGCCACGATAGAGTCGCTCCAGAAGATGCTGGGAGAGACAGAGATGCTGTGCTCCTCTCTCAAGGTACCCTTCCTGTCCCCAGCAAGACTAATCATCATGCAGTCAGTGTTAGTTCTGTTGAAGATCTCTGCAGATCCTGCTAATAAAGAGATTGTGCTGGTGGGATTTTGGGTCTGGTACCTGGATTTTTATTTTGGTTTGATTAATTGAAGAAAGTGCTGTTGCTGGACTCGAGGTCCTGATTGTGCTCTGCCTGATGTGATTCAGAGGCATAAAAAGCCTACAGGCCTGTGGTTTGTGTACAGGTGCTCAAGGTAGAGGTATCCCTGGTGAGGGAAAAATGCCAGCACAGCCTGAGGAATGTGGCTGAGCCTCGCTAATGAAGTGGCAGTGCTGGTCATAAAGGTAGTAGCAGGAATCTAGCGTGGGAATTAGCTCCAGCACCCCGTTGCTGAAACACTGGTTCCCTGAGGTAGAATGTTCTTCTGAAATGGGTTTAGGCCAAGTGGGATTCAAGGAAAATTAGTTTCTTACTTTGATTGGGGGGAGAAATCAAACTGAAAGATATGGAGGGGGAGGTGGAGGCTTCAGCTGAATGGGATCTGATCCAGCTAACCCTCCCGTCTCTGTTCTGTTGCCAGGGCTTCGCCTCAAGTTAGTAATGTGAAGTCCAGGGATCAAATATTCCTGTTGTGCTTCAGTGTGCAGTGACTCAGTGTGTAGTCATGTACTATGTGTAAACAGCAAGAGGAAGAGGGTAAGAGCAGGAGCAGCTTTGTTGGGATGTCTTGGAGCAGCTTTGCCTTGATTCTAGGCTGGGCAGTCTGTGCTGTGTGAAGGTGATGTGCCTGTCTCAGACAGGTGGGTTGTGAGCTGCAGGCTGGAAAGTGGGATAGGTGTCTACTGCACTTGCTATGCTGTCTGACCCAGTATCCTAAACTGCATTGTGTTCCTTGACCTGCAAGGCCAAGTGGCCCAGAGAGAGCTTGTAGACATGTCATGGTGCTATCATGCTATATGCCACCTGCAGCTGGGCTCTTCTGGGAGGAAGCATGCAGGAGATCTACCTGATACTAGGATAGAAAGAGTAAGGAATTAATGCCAGGCTGGCCTTGCTGTGAGCCAGCACAACTGTTTTTGCCCAACCATGCGATTGTATCCATTCTGCTTGCATGTAAAGGCAGCCTGGATCTTGGCCATGCCATAGATGCTAGTTTGATCCTGGATAGGTCAATGGCAGGATACTTCTGATGGCCCTCTACTCCAGCAGAAATAATTGTGACAATGGAAGCCAGTACTTGCTGCTCAACTCAGCATCTCAGTGCTGGGTTTTCCTGCCTTGACACTTCTGGAGGAGGCTCTGTGCTTATCTTCACTGTTGCAAAACCCTCTTTGTATGCTTAAGTCTCTTTAATGAAAGCTGGGCAGGGCAGAAGGATTAGAGACCTGGAGGTGTCTTTTCTGTGGTATATGGGGTTTCCCAGCTGAATGCCAAGCACTGTCTTAAACTGCATCATAAAGATTAAAGCACTAAACTTCTGCAGTCAAAATACAGGCTTAGCTTGCTGTGACGCAGGTTAAGGCTGCGAGCTGGGCCTGTCTTCTGCTGGCACTGCCAGTTTGCTGCAGTTTCAGGGTGGCTGAAGCTGGGGCCTCTGCCCTGACCAGGCACAAACACTGCTGTGGGCATCTGAAGTATTGAGAGTTCTGGTTAGGGAAAAGCCAAAGACAGGCTCCAGTTAAACAAAAGTGACACATGAGCCTGCAACACTGTCCCTCCTCAACTTCCCGGTGATTTCACAGCTGTTTGGTTTCTGTGGCAGGAAGTGGATAAAATCCTTGAACTTCTGTGTGGGAAGGAGCTTTACAAGGCAATGATCTTTTGCCAGGCCTTTCCCTGCAATCAGCACTGTGCTGAAACCAGAGCCTTTCAAAGTTGCTGTGCAAGGTGCCCAGGCACACAAACCTAGACAGCACAGATGCATCAGAATGGTGCTAATTCAGCTATCCCCATCCTCTGCCACACTGCAGATGTGCTTTTCCATCTCAGCTGAGGTTCTGTGTTACTGCTGGAGAGGCAATAGGCTGCAATAGACTTTCAGCAGGTGAGAAAACTGCCCAGGTGGATGTCTGGTTTGGCTGAGGTCTCCCAGAAGAGACCCACTCATTCCTATCTAGCTCTAAGCAGCTAATGGCAAGGAGAGTTGGGAGGCTGAAGCAATCAGCTGTGCACAGAGGAAAAGGCAATAGCAAGGTTTGCTTGCTGTGAACTCCTTTGCTTTTGAAAAACAAATTGTCACCACTGCATACAGGGTGCTGTGCAGCAGAGAGGGGCTCTGAGATGGGTTCAGCTGCAGACTTGCCTTGTGATTAGCACTGAGACCCTGCTGTGCTCGTGGGGAGCAGAGCTGGGGGTACGGTGGGAGGGAGCCAACTCTCCATAATCCCAGGCTGCTGAGGCGGCGATAGAATTTAAAGCCGATGTGTGCTCCCAGCTGCCCGCAGTGCGCATAAGCCGGGATGCTTCTCTGACAATCCCTGGAGCCTCAGTAGCGGTCTGTGTGCTTGCTTCCCTGCAGAAGCAGATGAAATTCCTGGAGCAGCAGCAGGAGGATAACAGAAGTTCAAAGGAGGAGGCTCGCCGGCTGCGAAACAAGCTGAGAACCATGGAGCGGTGAGATCCGGGGTGCTGCCTGGGCCTTGCAGCCTGGGCTGAACACCTCTGCCCTTTTTGGGGAGGGGAGAAGGGTCCTGCTGGGCCTGCTGCAACACCCATCTCCATGTGCTGGGTCATCTTACCTTGAACTTTGGAATGGCTGCTTTAGCTGCCTTTGCGTGCCTTCTGCTCCTGATGTGTTTGCAGACAGCTGCTCTCATTAAAGAGCAGCAAGATGGGGTACTGGCCTCATCTCTAGTGCACTGAGCATGGCTATGTGCCATTTCTGTTATCAGAGGATGCTGGGGCAGAATGCCAGCCCAGGAACACAGTCAGCCACAAGGCTATAGGGACCAAGAGCTGGCATCAGTTCCATGTGCAGTATGTGTGTGCAGCTGCCCCTTCTCTAGTCCAAGTAGTGCTGCTTTTCCCCAGTGAAAAGCCCTGCTTGAGGTGAGGCAGCTGTCTCTCCTCCCATGACACCCAGAGTGCCTGCAGGAGAAGCTCAGGCTGCACCAGCCCCTAGAGGGGGAAGCAGGGCTCTTGTCTCTTTCCCAGGTCTGTTTGTGATTCATGAGCTGAGGGTATGTTTTTGTTTGTGGTTTTTTTGTGCAGGATCGAGCTGTTGCTTCAGAGCCAGCGCCCGGAAGTGGAGGAGATGATCAGAGACATGGGAGTTGGGCAGGCAGCAGTGGAGCAGCTTGCCATCTACTGTGTCTCACTCAAAAAGTAGGTGCTGCAGGCTTGGCACAGCTGGCTGATGTTGTCCTGGGAGTGCCCAGGGAGAACCCTGTGCCGAGCACCAACAGGCACATGGGCTCTGTGGGGCTCTCACCGCCTCTTAGGGCTTCCACTGGGCTTTGACTGATGGATCCCGGGAACCTAGTTTGGAGCCTGTCACACTGAACTGCTCCTCTTGTCACTGTAGTGACATGTGTGTCACCATGGGAACTGTCTCCAGAGTTGTCAGTGCACCTATGAAGTGATGATGATTATTCCCTCTGCTTTCTTCTCATGCCTGGGGGAAAGCAAGCGGATGCAGAGCTCTGGGTTGTGCCCTCTGCAGCACTGCGCTGTGCAGCTGTGGCCTCTGGCAAAGCAAGCCTCCACTGCTGCCCTCCCCTACCTGGATATCCATCTGGTCCTGCTGGGGAAAAAAACACAGCTTTTTTTGTGTCCATTCTGATGGCAGCTGAATAACTGCAGCTTTGGTACAAAGCTGTAATGAGGCAAGTGTCCCTGTGGTGTAATTGGGAATGAGTGCGTGGCCAGGAGTGTGTAGTCTCTGAAAAGTCACTTAAAGCAAAGTCCCCTGTTTGCTGTCAGCATGGAGGCTGTGCTCTGTTTTCTGTCTTTTTCACTGACAACTAAAATGTCTCTGGCTCTGATTCCCATTTTCCTAGTGGAATCAGGCATGGTACCCCATGCAGGTTTTCTCTCCCTATGGTGTAGTGGAATGTGTGACAGTGTTAGTACACTCACTCATCTTTGTTCCTTAAAGGGCATTGTGTCTCCTGGAGTTGCTCTGGTGGCTAGGCAGGTCCAGAGCTTCAATTTGAAGGTCTTGGCTTGTCTCTGAGAAGTTCTGGCTCAGCTGCCTTACAAACAGTGTGACTCTTTGGGTCTCTTTGTAGGGAATATGAGAATTTGAAGGAGGCTCGGAAGATCTCTGGTGAGATGACAGAGAAGCTGAAAAAGGAGCTGCTTTCTGTCAATAATAAGGTAAAGGGAGAGTGTGAGTTGCCAGGATGACATCTGGTCTGCAGATTCCTATCCATAACTGAGGCCCATGGCCTCTGTAGTGACCCCCTCTCACACTGATAGGTATAGGTGTGTGGAAGGGTCAGGCTTGAGGTTTCTGGGTCAGGATGTGATGTGGAGAGCAAGCAGTTCATGGGCTATTGTCAGGAGGGCAGTCTCTGGAGACAGTGCTGGGGCAGCATGTGCAGAGCCAGCCAGAGTTTGGCAGGGAGCTTTTGCTGGAAGGCAGCAGCACACAGGTGCTCCACTGTTCCCACTGGGTTCTGGAAGTGGCAATTCCTTCATCCAGTTACACTGCCAAGCACTCAGCTGCCAGCTCCTCCTGCTGCAGAGCTGGGCCCCTAAGGAAGTGGGAAGGGGTTTGGAGCCAGTAGTGGTTGAGCAGGGCTTAGTCCTGGCTTGGCACATCCAGTCACACCCAGCCTTGTGCCTTCAGCCAGCTGAACTGAGCCAGGGCTCCCACATCATGCTGTTCCCAGGCAGGAGAGCTTCCCAAAGCACAGTGAGGACACACAGGTAGGTGGCCCTGCACAGAGCCTGCCTGGGCTGGTCCTGGGCTGGTGCAGAGCTTGGGGATGCTGATGTGCCTCTGCTGCTGTGCTCCCCTAGCTCCAGGCATGGCTGGGGTGTGTTAGCTCAGGTCAGGCAGGACTGTCCTTGTCTGTTCTGGTAGTGCATCCCTGTGAAAAGCGTGTGTGTAACCTCACACCCCGAGGCACAGGTGTTCCCTGGGGCATCCCCAAGTCTAAGCCAACAAAGTGAGAAACTGTGGGTGGATTTGGCCTACTTCTGTTACTCAGCCATAGCTGCTGTCCCCTCAAATGGAGAAGAAGGTTTTCATATTGCTGTTCTGTGCTCCCCAGAGGACTTAACCCCTACACAAGGTTCTACTGCTGGAATTGGGCTGCTTCTGGCTGAGTCAGACCCAAGCTGTGATGGCCAGTGTGGGTCAGGAGGATGCGAATCAGTGCACAAGGGCCTCCAGAGCGCTGACTGTACCCACAGCCCGTGAGCTGGCCCAGGCTCCTGGAGCTGCTGAAGGCTCTGAAGTGGTAGCAGTCCACTTCCTGACCCCTGCTGCTGGCATGCTTCCCTGTTGAATCAGGCTTGTCCATGTGCCAGCACTGCTGATACACAGCCATCCTCCAGCTTGTGGTTTGTGATTCCTGTGCTCTGGTGTGTCCAAAGTCCTGCAGGAATTCAGAATGCAGCCACCAAGTGTTAGAGCAGGGAAAAGCTGTTGCTGTGAGGCATAAATGCTGGGTAAATGCTGGGCAAGCAGCCCTGGACATCCCTCTGCAGGCAGCTTGCGGAATTGGGTAGGGATTGGATTGTGCTGATACAGGAATGGTTGGTCAGACTGGCACAGGAAAATTGAGCCTTTAAGCAGAGGAAGTAGCATGTGGTGTAGAGCACACTGCTTTCACAGGGCTCTGCAGTCCCCCTTACCCAGATAAGTGTAACCCACACTCTGTTGTGTTCTGCAGCTGCAGAAAACGACTTCAGAGTTGGAGAAGACAAAGGAGGAGTTAAAAAACACACAGAAAGATCTGAAGAATGCAGACAAGGAGATCTTGGTGAGAATATCTTTCTTCATGGCCGGCTGCCAGTTACTGCAGACTGGTCTGCAGCTGCAAAGCCAGGAGTTATGCTGGCTTTTGCTCAGTGACTAAATTTCCCAGCCTACCTCTCAGCTCCACCTGATGTTGATTTATGGAAAAGGGGCAAAGTATTTACTGCTAAATTTTGCCTTATCTCACTGGCTGCTTTCCCTTTTCTCTCCAGAGTTTGAAGAAAAAGATAGACATCCTGCAGGATACTCTGAAGGTCCCATCTGTTACCAGGGAAACACTCAGTCGGCTAGTCTTGGAAAGGTTAGTGGGCTGCACCCTCAGACACAGTACAGGCATGTAGGTGACAGGTCCAAAGCCAGAGCTGACAGTTTAAATATCTGAGAAAGCAGCGATGTATTAGTCTGGCAGGTGTTGCAGGGGTGTGGTGGTTTTGTTCCTTGTATCCTTTTTTTTGTGTCTTACAAGATGTTTGGTTTACATGGAAAAAGTCTCGGAGGGTTTGGGTCAGGAGAGGGTGGAGGAATGGCCTGGGTTTTGAAAAAGTCTTTGTCACTGTGCCCTGCCTGGGAAACATCCCTAAAGCTGCTGCTCTTGTTGCTTTAGAGTTGGCCATGTGATGAGCGTGCACTCGTGTATGGTGACCAAGATCTCAGCTAGGCAGAGGAATCTAGCCTGAGAAATGGCATCTGCTTTTATCAGCCTTTCTTGAGCCTATGCCATTAGCCCAGTAGAGTAAGCTGGGTTGTGTCCATAGAGCAGCTGTGTGTCAGTGTGATTTCTGGGCTCTGGGTGCTGCTGTCACAGCACTCAGCATTTGTGGGGGAGCAGTGGTTTGGGACATTGAATTTAAACTCTGAGTGCAAATTGTCCTTTATTTGACATATAAGCAGAACGGGGTGGTGCCACTGCTGTCTGAGCGCTCAGTGTCGAGGGGTGCAGCTCTGCCTTCCCCAGGATGGCAGGCAGTGGCTCAGTGACTGATGCTTTTCTTGGCTTTGCAGCCCTGCTCCCCTGGAGCTGCAGCATCCAAAGCTGCACCGCCCGGCCCACAGCGATGAGATCAATCTAGATGCCACGTACGATGTGGACACCCCTGAACAGCAGTCCTGCACAGTTCCCTTCGGCCCTGCAAAAAGGCAGAAACTGGATAAAAAGCCGTGAGTTTTCCCTCCTCTTTCTGCTTCTAAAGGAGATCAAAGTCTCACTGCTTTGGAAGTTTCTGTGTGATATCAGATAGCTCTCCAGCAGCCTGATGGCGTGCTGCAAGCTTTGTCGTCATTTGCTTGGCCTTGTCTGTCCTTGCCAGCTCCATTTGAACAATAAATCTCTGCTGATTTGCTCCTTGGGCTCCTTACAGGCCTCCTGTGGTAAATCTGGCGAAGAAACTTCTGAAGGAAACAGTGGAGGTAAAAGGAGTAATCTTGATTTTTCTGTATCGCCTCTTTGATTCTGCTGTTAATAAGGTTGGAATAAAGACTCTATTGTCTCCCTTGTGGCCATAGAGCGGCCCATGTATAGAACCAGTCTGTGCTTCAAAGTGTTTTCCTTGACAGTCTCCTGGAAACACTGTTGCTGCCTCAGGCCTCCTGGAGCTGGGTGGGAGAAGGGAGGGTGGGGACCCAAGTTCTTGCTGATGGTTCTGCCCCACACGTGCTTCACAAACACCCCTGGAGCTGACCACAAGGGCTGTGGGGTTAGCTGAGGTGTTAGCCCAGGCTTCCAGGGGGCAGTGCCCTGCCTCCTGGGCACTGTTCCACATAAGCCCCAGTGGGAGGTTGGAAGCTGCTAGTTTTCAACCTGACATGGTATGGCAGTAGCCATTACCTTAAATAGCTGTCTGTGTTATTAGTGCTGCCTGTGTATGGATTCCATTCAGCAGATTGTGCTTGTTAAAGGGCTTTTCTTGTTATTTTGTGGGACAGAACGGGGCAGATGATCTGGAGGATGATGCTCTTAAAGGACTCTTGCCAGCATTCATCAAGAACTCTTTTCTCTCCAAGAAGCCATCTTCAGGTGGTTTGCTGGGTTCCCACAGGAGCACGGGCTCTGTAAGTATGACTGTCCAGTTGGTGAGTGTGCCCAGGGCTGGCACTGCCACCTCTGTCCTCAGCTGACCCTGAAAGAGGAAGTGAATGAGGCTTTTACCTTGCCACATACAGTGTGTGGCAAATAAATCTTGGAGCACAACCTGGCTACTTCCCAGTCCTGCAGAGCTCCAGGGATGACAGATGCTCATTCCTTTCCTGGCAGCAGACTAAGTGGCTCTCAATGTCCTATTCCTCCACCTTCTTGGAGCTTAGGGTGTCCTCCTTGTATTCCTCAATCCCAGTGACAAAATCCTAAGCATGCTTGGTTTATCTGAAAAAATGCCCAATATTCCCAAACTTTGTTAATACCCATGGGTCTGCCTTTTTCCAAAAGTGAGGGCTTGAGGGCTTAGCACAAGTAGTGAGTGTTTCCAAGGGCCTTTAACCCCTCTCCAGGTGCTGTGGTCTGCAAGACTCCCCCTTCCCTATAACCAGCATGAGAAGAAGTAGCCAAGGCTCTGTGCTGCTCCAGGCTCATTTGTTTCTCTCTCCTAGGTGAGGACTGGCTATGATGGCATGGGAGGCAGAACAAAGTTCATCGAGCCAGTATCCTTTCCTGCAGCTTATGTGGCAGTACTGAGTGCTGTGGGCACCTCATTTCTGATCTTTCTCTTTGGTCTCAACAAAAAACAGACTTGGGATCTTCAAGGGATGATCTGATTTCTCTGTCAACAAATCTGAGCTCAGCAAAGGTGTCAAGGACCTGAACTTGCTGAGAGCACTTGTGGCTGGTTCAGAGGAGCACATCAGCTAGAAATCAGTGCAGTTTTCAGGGACTGCCTGTGCCCTTGAGATCTTAGAGCAGCAGTGTAGCACAGCCTCTTCTGGCTGTGTGCCTGCCAGCCCGTGCAGCCCGAGCCCTCGTTCTGTGGGATGCTGCTGCTCCACTGTGGTGAGGAGTGGCTGGGCTGAGCTCACCCCTCTGGGTGTGGAGCTGTTCCTGCCGTGGGATTGCTCTGCCGTGGGAGCTGCAGGCTCTGGCTGCTCTGCCTTCACCTGCACAGTGTCCTGGCTCAGGAGGTCTTGCAACTCAAACAGATATGCTGTTAAAAATGCTGGTTTATGTGCAGGGGGATAGCACAGAATCATGAAATCATTAATGTTGGAAAAGTGCTCTAAGATCAGAGTCCAACCATTAACCCAGCATTAGCAAGCCTACCACTAACCCATGTCCCTAACCCACATGTCTGCATGTTTTTTGACTGTTTCCAGGGACTTCCACCACTTCCCTGGGCAGCCTGTTGCAATGCTTGACCACCTCTTTAGTGATGTTTCCTAATATCCAGTCAACACCCCCTGTTTGGGAGATGTTCCCTGACATGTGGGACAGGCGTGTGTCTGAGCTCTGCTCCTATGAAAAGGTAGCAAAGCCCATCCTGTCCTGCAGGGAGTTTTTTTGTGGATGCAGATATATGGCTGGGTCCTGGGTCTATGGTTCAGGCTGGACTGCAGCAGATGTTGGATCACTTGGGTTCCCAGGGCATTGATCTGTGCTTTCCTTGACAGTTTTACCTCCAGACAAACCTGGCAGAAATACGTCCATTATCAGTTAGGAGCAAGAAGAAGGTCTCCAGACCGGTGTCTGCAGCTCCTGCATCTTCCTCCAGCAGCAGCCAGGCCAGAATGGACACTTTCCTGCTGTGAGAGCCCTGACTTCCTGGGAGAGACTTTTGGAGAAGAGGCTGCAGGGCAGAGCACACTTGCCCAGAGCCTGGCACGAGGCAATGTGCAGCCACCACTGCCTGGGCTACTGTTCACAAAGCACTGGTGCTGCCCTGTGTGTGGGATGAGCTGCCCTGTGGAGAACTCTGCCCTAGCAGCAAGCCTCTAGAGGCCAAGCCTCTGGCTAATGCCTGGACTGAGTTACCCTCATTTTACCATTCCTTCCTCCTTTTTTCCATGCAGAATTAACAGGGTTTTCTTGCCTTCTGACCTGCTCGGAGTTCTGCAGTTGCTGCTGCTTTGGGCTCTCTGGCACCAGGTGGAACTGCACTTCTTGGATCCGGCCACAAGCAGGAGGTGCAGGAAGGGTGTCTGGGATGTCAGTCTGGAGAGCAGCAGGGAAAATGGACCTGGACCAGCTCCATGCCTGGTGTTAATAGTTCCAGGAAAGTTTACTGGAGGAAGAAGTGTGTAGAACACCTGTGTGGCTGTCAAGTGTCTGTATATTCATCATCAAATTAATCACCTTCCCTCAACCACAGGCCTGTTGTGGCTGGGGACACTGACAGGTGGACTTGGGAGCTGTGTTGCCCTGCCTTGTTTCAGGTCATGGAGTCCAGGGTGATCTTGCAGGCTTGGCAGTGAAACTGCTGACTTGGAAGGAAAGTATTGGGGTGACCCCCTGCTCCACTTGGAAGCAGAGATAGGTGTGCTGGTGGGCGCGTGTTGGTGTGAAACTTGTTTGTTAATTTCTATGCTTTAATAAGATTGTATTTTTATTATTTTGTAACTGTTCTGACTTGTAATTAGAGGGTTTGGAATGGCCTGGAGAAGTGCTGAAGAATGGCTGTCTTCAGGGGAGGGGGAGGCTGGTGCAGTTGAACATGTCTGGGTTCTTCAGCTTGGAGCCGTGGAACAGGAGATCCACACATGCAGCAGGGCTGTCCAAGCTGCAAGGAACAGATGTGGTGAGGCACCTCATAAAGCACTCTCCTGTACAAATCTGACCTTTCCTATTTCCAGCTGCTTCAGGCCAAATCTGTATTACTGGACTGGCTAAAACCATGTTTTTAGGGAATAAAATATATTACTGTGTACACTTGTTAACACAACTGGCTTTGAGCATTTTCTAGCCTATTGCACGTCAGGGTGGAGGTCTGAGCTTGGGTGCTGAATGTAGGGTGATGGATGTGCTCAACCCTTCAGGTTCCTGTGGGGTGCCAGCCCTTGGGAGACAGGCCCCTTGTGCAGGGAAGGACAGTGGTGAGGTGAAGCCATGGGGACAGTGATGCCCATCCCCAGGGAGGTGAGCAAAGCAAAGCCCTGCAGAGCATGAGCCATATCTCACCTGCATCACCTGAGGCTGACTGCAGAATTAAGTGGAATGGGGGAAGAGTTTAGAGGAGCCAGGAGAGAGGTTTCAGAGGGCTGGGGAAAATAAGCTTGGGGAGAAGGGAGGAGGGGCTTAATCAAGCAAGTGAATTCTGCAGAGAAGTCTGGGAGAGGGTCTGCAGAAAGCCTGCTGTGTGCTATCCTCGTCCCTTCGAGGTAGGTATCAAGTGTCTGTAAAATGTGAGACTTGCTCTGGATCTCTCCAGTTCAGGAAGACCCTTTTAAGAAGGCAGCAGTGGAGGTTTGGGTGTGGGGCTGGTGGGGAACATGGGCTTCCATGTTGGGGTGCTGGACAGCAGGTGTGGTGTCTGCCCATCATGGAAGGACAGATCCCAGCCAGCAGTGGAGGGGTTGATTGAGAAGGAGTTTTGGGGCTGTTTTGACCCCATGGCAAGTTTAAACTGAGGTCTGAGCATCTTGTCTGGGCACTACCTGCAGCAGCGCTGTTGCTGGCAGCTGCTCCAACCTCTGCTGCATTCAAGGTGGATGTTTTGAGTCGCCTGTGTTTGAGGGACACATCACCTCAGGAAAAAATCCAAACAAACCAAACTTTTTTTTGCGTGTCCCGGCCACCTGCTAAGTCCTGGCCTCTTTCATTCACTCCTGCACTCTAACCTTCCATTAGCCTTGCTGCTGCAGGGCTGTTTCTGATGTGGTTTTGTTCTGGTTTATTGCACATCTGTTGTCCTGCCCGGAACTGTTTTATTCTCTTACCCAGTCCTTTCATATCCTCCAAAGATCTTTTGCTCCCACGTTCCACCTTCTGCACCCCACACCTGCTCCTCAGGGGCCAGCAGTGACCTCCAGCAGTGCCAGCATCCCCTTCCCTGGCCCGGGGGATACAGGAGGGGCGGGGAAGGCACTGAGGTTCCCTGTTCCCGGGGCTTGCTGGAGCCGGTTGCTATTTTGGTGCGCTCCGAGGTGAGGCTGGACCCAGTTTCACGTTTATTTTGGGATTTAGCGCGTGTGAGTTGACTCACAGCCCATAAAAAGCAGCCGCCAGCACTGCCCGGGCTCGGCTCCGCCCAGGGACAAGTTTTGGTCCCCGCTGGGGTCCCCCCGAGGGGGCTCCGGGCCGTGGCAGCCGGGCCCGGTGCCGGTAATTAGCGCCCCTCATTAGCGGCAGGGGGCGGGAGCACCGCCGCTCTCTGACGCCATGGGCAGCCTCTGACCTCACACGGAGAGAGCGTGGCCATTGGCTGGTGCTGTGTGACCTCACGGAGGGGGCGGTGCTGCGTGGCTGAGCCCATCCGTTCGGCCCTGTGATGTCACAGGAGGGCAGTGGTGGTCACTGGCTGGAGACTGGGTGACCGTGGGAAGGACAGGCTGGTTATTGGCTGAGGCCCCATTGCCTCATCAGCGAGCCTGTGACGTCACAGGGAGGGGTGCGCTCATTGCCTGGCCGCAGTGACTGCCAGGATCTCACGAGGGAGCAGGGTGCTCCTTGGACAGCAGCGTGTGACAGTGCAGGGCCGCCTGTGACCTTACAGGGAGCACGACAGTCGCTGACTGGCAGAGTGTGACATCACGAGGCACTGCATGACCTCACAGTGGCACAAGACCCTCATTGGCTGGCAGGGTGTGATGTTCTTGGACAGCCCATGACATCATGGATGAGGAGGCTGCTCATTGGCTGATGTGCTGTGATGTCCGGGGGCAGCCTCTGACATCATGGAGGAGGCAGGTGCTCATTGGTTGTCAGGCTGTGACTTCCAGGAGCAGCACATGACCTCATGGGGGAGGGCACAGCTCATTGGTCAGTGGTGTGTGACATCCTGCAGAAGCCCGTGACCTCATGGGTGAGCGGGCGCTCATTGGCTGTTGCGTGTAACCTCATGCGGGACTGCGCGCCCATTGGCCCCCGCCCGTGACGTCACGGCAGCCGGGCCGCTCATTGACGGCCAGCGCGGGAGCGCCAGTGGCGCCGCCTGGCGGGCGCGAGCGCGGGCGCTGCGCGGCGCCGATTGGCCGGCGGGCGGGGCGGGGCGGGGCCGGGGGACACGTGCCGGCGGGGCCCCGCCAGGCGGGCGGCGATTGGCCGGGCGAAGGCGCGCGTGCCCACGGCGCGAGCGGGCGCGGGGGCGGCGCATGCGCGGGGCGGCGCGGGCGGGCGGCGATGGCGGCGCGGGGCTGATGGCGGCGGCGGGGGCGGCGCTGCGCTGAGGGAGCGGCCCCGGTCCCGGACCCGCCCGGCCCGACATGGGCAACGAGGCCAGCCTGGAGGGCGGCGGCGACGACGGGCAGCTGCCGCCCGCCGCCGCCGCCGCCGCAGGGGCCCCGCCGCCGCCCGCCGCCGCCGCCGCCAAGCCGCCTTCAGCACCGGGCGGCGGCGGACAGCTCCCGCCCGCCGCCGGGCCCAGGTCAGCGCGCGGGGCGGCACCGGCGGGGCCCCGGGGCGGGCGCGGGCTGCGGGGCTGCCGGGCGCGGGGCACGGCCGGGTGCGCTGTGGGGTGGCGGTGCGGGTGTGGGGGCAGGAGGTGCAGCCGTGCCGGGTGAGGGTGAGCGGTGCCCGGTGCGGCGGGGCGGTGTGATGGGGGCCGGTGTGGTGCGGGCACGGCTGTTGGGGGGCAGGAGGTGTCGGGGGGTGCCGGGCTGTGGGGTACGTGCAGGTGAGACAGGAGTGTGCACGGACTGCGAGCCGAGGGCAGAGCCGGTGCGGCGGTGGGGCGTGGACAGCAGGGACAGGGCAGGTGAGGGAGGTGCAGAGGGGCTCGGGGAGGGGATGGAGGCACCCGAGGCAGGTCACTGCTGGAGGATGTGCAGCCCCTGGGGAGCCGGCAGCTCCGGGACACCCGTGGGTGCTGAGGAGAACAAAGCTGCGATCTGGGGCTGGGTTTGGGAGAGCGCCCGGAGTGCGGTGTCGTGTTTGGGGGACAGGAGAAAGCGGGGTGCTGCCCGGTGGGCAGAGGTCCAGCAGCAAGGGGGGAGGCATAAGGAGAAGGGAGTGTGGCTCATGGTTGGTGGGTCTGGTCAGATCGCGGGATGGTGCCTGGCAGCACACAGTTCAGAGCACTGGGGCGTGTGAGCACCCCAAATGTTGCCACCCCAAATGTGACCACTCCCAAACGTGGCCACCCCAAGTGGAGCCAGCACCAAACGGGAAAGGTCGTTATGTAACAGGAGGGACATGCAGCCCTGCCAGGAGTCATCGGTGCAAAACCTCGCAGGGAACTGCACCGAGCCGTTCTCCTTCTGCCAGGCAGCGCCAGCTGGGAGGGAGATACTTCGGAAGCGAGTGCAGGATAAGAAATATTCCTTAAATGAAAAAAGCCAATCCTAAAATATCATCCTATCTGAAAAAATAAAGGCAAGGAGCAGAAAGTTGCACGGAGGGATGCGGAGGACTCGGTGGGTGGTTCGCCCTCAGTGTGTGGCCAAGGCAGTGGCGTTCCGGGCTCTTTGCCTCGCCTGGGCAGTGATGAGTGCTGCTGGTTTTGCCAGTCGTGTTGCTTCAGACAGGGAAAATCCAGGTGGGAGCCTGAGTGGGAGGCTGCAGTCTTGCCTGGCAGTGGGCTCTGTCTTGCTGGGCTGCAGTGGCTGCTCACAGGCACACCGTAACATCCAGTGGGCTTCAGGGGTGCTACAGCTGTGGGCAGGCTTCTGTCTGTAAGACCCCTGAGAGCTTTGACAGTGAATGTGAAAAAAATAGGTCTGAGTGAAATTGTGCTCATTTTCCTTTACATTTTTCCCAGCTTCCCTTACTAGAGTCACAGCCTCTCTGCTTTGGATTCTGGCAGTGAAAAGTTGTTCATAGCTGCTTGAACAGTTTAAAATTAAATACCTGTGGGGCTGTTTAGGCTGCTGTAATGAGAGGAGCTGGGGAAGCCATGCGGGTCTGCTGTCTCTGTCCAGTTTTGGCACTGCTCCTCCACTACTGTCTAGTGTCTGTGTTTGCTGTTGTGCAGTGCTGGGCCTTCCAGGGGCTTTTAGGGTCCTGGAACATACGGGGCTGGTGGGTGGAGGAACAGAGTCTGTAGCACTGGCCATCCATGCTCCTCTCCTGCCAGAAACACCAGGTTGTTTTTTCCGGCCATGCTCCAGCCCTCGCACACTGAGCTGATGCTCCTGCGCCTCCTGGGAAGCTGCTGCTGGGGAGCTGCCCTCCCTTGCAATTAATTAAAGCAATTAAAGAGGTGGGCCAAGTAGGGCTGTGCCGTGGAGCAGCAGTGGGATGGGGATGATGCTGAGCTATGCCAGTGTTTAAAACCTAAGCGTGGGAGGGGTGTGGGGGGCTGAGATGACACTGAGGGATTTTAATTCAAGGTAGCAAAGTGGCAATGAGGGGAAATCAGGCCTCGAGAAGAAAGTCGCTTTTGTGAGGTGCAGGAGTGGGCACATAAGACAGACCATATGTTCTGAAAGGTTCAGCAGAGCACAGGGTGTGCTGGCCAAGCAGTGAGTGTGGAGTGCAAAAGGTGCTGCTCCAGAAATCTCAAGTGGCCAGAGAAAGTGAGTTTCTCTCAATATCAGAGCAATTTTTTTCCTCTGAATTAAGTAACCTAAATCCACATGTAAGCCAGTGAAAACCATGGTAGTATGACTTTTCTATGTAATTTTTCACAGTTTGCTTTGTGTTACACAGAGAAATAGTCTGAGTATCTTATAGGGGCTGCTCTGGATTTTGGGGTCTTGTCTTTAAATCCATAATAATAGTTTCTAAGAACTCTGCACCCACTATAAAGATACTTTAGAGAGTAGAAACCACAAATAGGAGTTGCAT